AGAGCTACACCACCTCCCTTTCCATCCTGTCTGTCCTTTAAATAGTCTGATTCCCCTGGACATTTAACTCCCAGTCGTGACACCCTGCAGCCATGTCCCTGTAGTGTCCACTAAATCATACCAATTTGCAATGATCGTGCCGTCAACTCATTTACCTTGTTTCAAATGATACGAGCATTCAGGTAATGTGCCCTTGTGAGTTTTTATACCTTCTTTATACCTATACGCTACGTGGACGACACCTTTGTCCAAATTAAAGGAGACACACAAACTTATAAACAACATCCTCACCGGGATAAAATTCACCAGAGAGGAGGAGAAGAACAAACAGCTCTCATTCCTGGATGTCATGGTAGAGTGCAAGACAAACGGGGAACTGCAAACGAAAGTACACAGAAAAGCCACACACATGGACCAGGTACTGAACTTCAACAGCAACCATCCCAGCACACACAAACGAAGCTGCATGCAAGCACTATTTAAACGGGCAAAAACACACTGCAGCAACACGGAACTACGCCAAGAGGAAGAAGAATGCCTCTTCCAGGTTTTCAAGGATAATGGATATCCAAAAAACTGGGTCAGAAGATGCCTACACGAGCAATGTCAGGACGATACTACACGCCCCGACACACTCATCACACTACCCTACATCAGGAACACATCGGAACTCACCACAAGACCGCTGGGCATCAGAGTGGCACACAAGCCCACGTCAACCCTAAGACAACTGCTCACCCGAACTAAAGGCCCACTCCCCACCATGGACAGGACCAATGTCATCTACAAGATCCCCTGCAGACACTGTGAGAGACACTACGTCGGAGAAACAGGAAGGAAACTAACAACAAGGTGCATGAACACCAACTGGCTACAAAATGACACGACCAGTACTCACTTATCTCAATCCATATGGACAAGGAGAACCACCATTTCGACTGGGACAACACTAAAATCCTGGGACAAGCTAGGCAGAGACAGGCACGAGAATTCCTAGAAGCCTGGCACTCCACAAAGCATGCTATTAATAAACACATTGAACTCGACCCCATATACATTCCACTACGAAGGAAAACCGGAAGTGAGGCAATCCAGCTCAATGGACTCCAGAGTTTAAAAACCAGGTGGGAAAACACACCGACACTTCATCGGAGACTGCACTGAGGATGTTACCAAACATGGTAACGAAATGTCTGCGAAACAAGAAATCAGCTCGGCGAGGCAACCAACCACAACACCCACAACTCAAGCTACAAATCTACTGCAAAACTTTAGATACCTTCTTTTTGAATCAACACCTTTACCAGAAGAACGTTTGTTTTTAAACATTCTGTCCTTTTCTGTCACTATCTGGTTTCCACTCATCTTAGTGCTGCACAGTTCAGCTACTCCTTACTTTTTATTTACTATCTTGACTCTCTTTTTCCTTAAGCCCTCACCCACTGTAGCTAGCTCAGAGCCTTTCCTTAGGTTCCCATCCCTCTGCTAGTTTAAAGTCCACCCAACAGTGCTAGCAAAACCACCCGCAAGAATGTTGCACACGCCACTGTTTGGGTGAAGACAATCCCTCTTGAACAGGCCCACCTTCCTCAGAAATGGTCCCAGTTATGCAGAAATCCAAAATCCTCCGTCCTACACCACTCCTCCAGCCATGTATTAAACTGCCTAATCTGATAATTCTTAACCTCACTAGCATGTAGCACGGGTAGCAATCCAGAGGTCCTATCTTTCAATCTGGCTCGTAACTTCCTAAATTCAGCCTTTAGGACCTCATCCCTCTTCTTACCTATGTCATTAGTACAGCATGTACCACAGCCACTGGCTGGTTCCCTTCCCCCAAACCCAAAATATCCAAAAAGTTAGGATGGGGGTTGGTCAGGCAAGGGAAGACGGACAGGTCAAGGAGGCAGTGATGAGCAGTTTCAAGGCCGAAGAGATTACCAGAGGGTTGCAGTGGGAGAGAGATCCACTGAAGTCTTTACGGAGGGAGGAGGGTAACTTCTTCAAGGTAGACATCCTTAGAAGAACTGCTCATTCCCGCCTCCTTGACCTGTCTGTCTTCCCTTGACTGACCAACTCCCATCCTAACTCCCCACCTACACTCACCTTTACTGGCTCCATCCCCGCCTCCTTGGCCTGTCCATCTCCTCTCCACCTATCTGCTCCTTTATCCACCTTCCATCCGCCTTCTCCCCTCTCTCTATTTATTTCAGATTCCCCTTCTCCTCTCCCATTTCTGAAGAAGGGTCCAGACCCGAAACGTCAGCTTTCCTGCTCCTCTGATGCTGCCTGGCCTGCTGTGTTCATCCAGCTCTACACCTTGTTATCTCAGATTCTCCAGCAGCAGCAGGTCCTACTATCTCTGTGGCAGTGTGGATTTTGCTTTGGCTGCAATTCCCTGGAGCATTATTGCTGTCGCCAGAACTCAGCACAGAGTACCAGTTGGCTGTTGGGACTCCTGCACTACCTACCTTGCCTTATGCTTGCATGCCATGGTCACCCATTCCCTATCCTCCTGCATCCTTTTACACTTTGGGGTGACCATTGCCTTGTACGTGCTATTCATGTAAACTCTCGTTCTCCCGGATGCTCCGCAGTGCCTCCAGACCTTACTTAAGCTCTATGACCCGACGTTCGAGTTGGAGGTACTGAAGGCACCTTGTGCACACATGTTGCACAGGTGGAGCATACTGCTTGAAGGAGCTGGCCTGCCATCCCTTTGATTAACCAGAAAAAATTACCCACTTAAAAAAAAACAAAAATCTAATTCTCACTAACACACACTAACAGTTAACTAATAAGTATAATAATTTCAACAGCTTATTTCAGTAGGATAAGAAAATCAAGAGTTATACCCACCCCTTAAACAGCGCAAGTAGATCCCAGGACAGCAGATATTAATAGAGAGAGAAAGAGAGAGAGAAAATTCCTCAGTTGGCATGGCATTTTTACCCAGGTAATTTCACCTGCAGACCACAAACTTTTTTAAGATGTAGTGCTCTCCCTCTTCTTCAGTGTCTGCCTGAAGCAGTGTTTCTTCCTGGAGTTTTTTTTAAATCAACCTGTTCAGAGATGTGATTACATGCTCTTGAGATGTTGTTACATACTCTTTAGTACTTGAACTTGGGCCTTCTGGTCCATTGAGCCGTGTTTCTTCCTGGATTGTTAAGATGTAATCTACCTTTGGCTAGACATCTTGCCTCTTTTGAATCATACTTAGGTGGCAAGCTAAAACGTCTACTGTTACAAGGTGGTCTCTGCGAAAATTACGTCTTCTTTCACCTAAGGAATTGGCAGTTCAGAGAGAGCTTGTCTGCCATCTGTGGTTCATAGCTTTTGTTCTGACCAATGTCCAATTTACATTCTCACAATACGTTGTCAAGGCCTTTGTTATCTCCTGGACAAGAACCATTATATGATTGTGCATGTCTCTCTGTGACCACATAAAAGTTGGTTTTGCATAGTCAGTTTATTTTTCTCTTCTTAACTTCTTCTAACCATTTTCAGTTACAGCTAGGTTAACATTTTGCAAAAGTGCTAACTCAACCATTCTTTCCTAAAAAATATGAGACCATTGACTAGACCAGCCATGTACATACTTGAGTTGCATTACCAGGACAGAGACTGGGTATTTTGTGGCATGTAGTTCACCTCCAGACTCTAAGGTCTGTCCATGATTAACAAGACACATGTTAGGAGTGTGATGGAATAAGTTCCACTTGCATGGATCTGTGCCACTGCAACATATTTCATAAATCTCAGTACTGTCAAGGATAACGAAAGCTGTTCAATTAGCACCCCAGCCACCATTTTAACCATTCATTCTTTCACTTTGGGCATACAGTGACGTTATTGTTATACCAGCTACAAGTTGAACTGCAGCAATATGTGACCCTCCTTCAATAATATCTTCCAAACAAGTGAAGTCTTCCCCTGAAAAACAAGGGTAGTAGGAACATGGGAATGTTTGCAATTTGCAATTTTTCCTCTGAGTCACACACCATCCTGATCTAGAATATATATTTCATTTCCTTCACTGTCGCTAAGTAGAAATCCTGGAATTTAATCCCTCTAGCAATATACCTACACCACAACAATTGCAGCAGTTTAAGAAGATGGCTCACCTTGACAATAAATGCTGTCTGTGCCGATGATGTCTTTATCACATGAATAAATGTATCAAAATGTTCTCATGCACATAGTTCAAAAAGGATATAGAGGGACTGAAGAATTTATAACAGAGTTCCCAAGGGCAATATGAGAACTAAAAGATTAAGAATCATTAGATTAATTACAATTAAGGAGTCATTAAGGAGTTTGATATATTAGATGTAACAGACATTTCCTTATGGGGACACAAAACTGGGTGACAAAATTTAAGAATAAACTCAATTTAATAATTGAATAACTAAAGCGAACAACAAATATACCTTTAAGGGAAAGCTAGATAATTATATGACGGAGAAAGGGATAAAAGGTTTTGTAGATGGTGTCTGATGAAGTAGCCTGGTAAAGAAGCTTGTGTACAGCATAAACATCAGCAGACCAGTTGGGACAAAGATCCTGTTCTATCCAATAGTTCTCTTTAATTATGTGTATGCACGGCCTCTATATGTGTTGTAAATCTTGATGGTTCTATGGTCCTGATGCAAATTTATAAAAATAAAGTCACGACTTGAGTCTGGGACCTGATTTTTAAACAGTACACCTTTTGAGGTTTAGTTGAAACTAGAATAGTCTCCTAGGTTTATGCCATCTGCATTCATATATTCAGTTGAAATTAACACAAAATAGAATATTTAAAGATCAAGTCTGATGCTGCTTAATAATTTATTTGTTATCACAAAATATTAGTATTTTCAACCTGTACTAAAATATTTAATACAAAGTAACTAAAGTATGTTTATGCAATGTTAATAGGTGTCACATGCCCTTTTTATAGCATATGATATGATATTTATTGTGATATAAAATACCATTTATTTTCCTGCCATTCACAGCGCCAGTGTGTGGAATATGCCTTAAAGGCTCGGCCTCTTCGGCGCTATATCCCGAAGAATACTTACCAGTATAAAGTGTGGTATGTGGTAAATTCCACCTACTTCGAGTACCTGATGTTTGTCTTGATTCTGCTGAACACAATTTGCCTGGCAATGCAGGTATGACAAAGTGAATAATTGGAATTTAATTACCTTTGGTTAGAGTGGATTTCTGTTGCATTTCAGATGAAGTAACACCAGTGGAGTGAGAACAGTTCCAAGAAGTATTCCAGTTGGAAAAAAAAACATGCATTAATTTGGAGTTTTTATTTTCTGCAAATGGAATGAGAAGTCCCTCTGTGCAGGCTTTTGAAAAATACGTGCTCATGTTCTTAACTGTGTTTCAAAGAAATTATTTCATGCAACTAAACAATTCTGACTTGTTTCTCATCTGCTACTTATTTATGAGGTGTTAGGATTTATTTTAGCACCTGTGCATAAAGCCTGTCCTGCATACACCACAAAGAGGAAAATTGGGCAAGGAAATATACACATCATTAAAGGAGCCTGACTGCTTTTCCTATCATAGGAAAAAAATGGAGGAAATTTCACATGTACTCGGCTGTGGACTTGCACTTCTTTCTAACTGACTTTTACTTTATACTTTTCTCAGGCAATGCCATACACCCAGTACGTAATATTGAAACACAAATAGAAATTTCTGGAAAAGTTCAGCAGATCTGGCAGCATCTGTGGAGAGAAATAATCAGAGTCAACATTTCGGATCTAGTGACTCTCACGTTCTGAAGAAGGGTCACTGGACCCAAAACATTAACTCTAAATTCTCTCCACAGATGCTGCCAGACCTGCTGAATTTTTCCAAGGATCTATCCAGATCTGCCTAAAAAAAATTCACTGACCCCATATCCAACACTGTCTGAGGCGTAGTATTCCAAAGTCTCACAACTGTCTAAGAGAAAAAAGAATATTCCCCTCATCGCTGTCCTGAAAGAGCAACCTGTAATTTTTAAACAATGCCTCCTGGTTCCAGACTCACCCATAAGAGGAAACACCCTTACCACGCCCACCTTGTCAAGTCTGTTCAGGAACTCTCACACCTCAAACTTCTCGCCACACATTCGTCTAAATTCCAATGGAAACAAGCCCAATCTGTTCATCCTTTCTTCATAGGACAACCTATTCATTTCAAGTAACAAATTAGTAAACCTCATTGAACAACCTTCATTTACAGTATTTATAACATTCTTAAATAAGGACTGCACACAGTATGTGAGATGTAGTCTCACCAATGCCCTAAATAACCAAAATACAACATCCTTTCTTTAACGTTCAAGTCTTCTCATAATAAGGAATGGAATTCCATTGAACTTTATTATTTGCTCTATTTGTATTCTAACATTTCGTGACTCAAGTAATAGAATATCTAGATCCCTCTGCATTTCGAAATTCTGCAGGCATTCACTGTTTAAGTAATACTGCTTGTTTTTTATTCTTCATGTCCAAGGTGAACAACTTCACAATTTCCCACATTATACTCCATCTGCTAGATCTTTTCCCATTCACTTAACCTGTCCATATTTATCTGCATCCCCTTTAAGTCCTTTTTACAACAAAATTTCCTACACATCAATGTTGCATCTTCAAATTTAGCTGCAATGCCTTCATTCTGCTCATTCAAGTCATTGATATAAATTGTGTGTGAATAAGATAGAGTAGCCATAGTCTTACCAAACCATAGGGCTACTCTCTCTCATTAGAGAGAGAGAGGTAACTGGTGGTGGTTTAGTCTAAGGATAATCACACCTCAAGAGAGGCTGAGAAGGTGAGTCCTTCATGGTCACTTTAGCCTTTGCAGAAACTGAACCATGTTGTTAGCATCACTCTGTGTTACAAGCCAGCCGTCCAGCCAACAGACCTAAGGAACACCCTGTATGTATAAAATGTGTGAAAGCAACATAATGTAGTCACCCTCATAGGAGCACAAGAATTACTTGATGACAAAATAGTTAGATTAATCCAGTTTGCCTTCTTCTACTCTAGTAGTCACATGATTCAATAAAATGGAATTGGAAAGGGATTTTTGACTAATCATAACTATCAATCAATCTGTCAGTAATCTACAACAGTCATAACTTTCAGAAAAAAAACAAAAGACAGTTTTGATAAGCTAGGTTCAAAACAACCTGTGCCACCTGTGCCTTCCAAACATACTGCAGTATGTTTCAAATTATTCATTTCCTGCATCCCAAAATGTTATTTCTTCAAATAAATCTATCTCAATTTAGATTTGATTAAATTCATGTAACATCTTTCATCATCTCTCTGGTGAGGATTTCTTTTTGATTGGCCATATACCAACTGGATTGTTGAATGAGATTTTTTTTCTAAGTTGATGTTTATCAGTGAGACTTTCAGAGCTCACTATTTTTATGCCCCAACTTAGAACTCAGCCTCTGTAGTTCACATATACATAGTTAAATGCGTAAGTCTAGAAGTCCCTGACTGATTTTCTCTGCTTTTCCATAAGTTTCTACATTGGCAAAAGACAGGATAGTGAAGTTGAGCCTACAACCAGATCAGAATGATCTTATTGAATGGCAGAGTAGGTGTGAAGTGCAGAATGGTTTACTGCAGCTTTTAAACTCTCTGTTCTTATAAGTTTTGCTCCACTAGTATCGCACTAGATTTGGCACTGAAATCCATGTAAAGTTATGAAATTGCTTTACTAATCCATGACTTGACCACTAAATGTGGCAGGCACAATTTTAGGTTGGTGCTTTCATATGAGTTTTAATGACATGCTAAGTCTTCATTAACAAAAAGCAACCTATCTGGACTGAAAATTTTAAGTTGTAATTTAAAAGTTTCATTTAGTTGTTTACGAACGTTTACTAGTTTGAATAAATGTTATTGCTTTTTGCTGAAGAAGGGCATTGTTGAAAAGTTTGTAGAGTTTGTATCATGTGATACAAATCTCTAATTACTAATTTTTTTACTGAATTTAAAGATAAGTTTCCTTGTTCAGCCTATTTATTATTTTCAATTTACTCGTATGCAAAATGGAAATGAAGATGATATAATTCCAAGAAATGGCAAATAGAAAATGGTTTTGCTGAGAAAAGACTATCTGCCCGTAAGAGTAATATTACTGCATTAAAATTAGTAGCACTTAGTGTAAATTAGATTCTAAATAAATCAAATACATTTTATTCAAAAATTAACTGCTGTAGTGAAGTATCAACTCCTCATGAAATCATGGATTTTTATCTAGTTCTTTGTTTCTTTTTTCTAAGCACTATGGCCAATCACAGACCTTCAGTCAAGCCATGGATGTCCTTAATATGCTCTTCACCGGGCTGTTCACAGTTGAAATGATTTTGAAGTTAATTGCATTCAAGCCCAGAGTATGTATTGAAAATAAACAACAAAATTGCATGCTGTCTTTCTTATCTAGTCCAAATAATAGTGCTTAATCATGAATGATTCCTAGGACAAACTCAATGTTACATTAAACACCAGATAGTGTACATAAATGCATAATTATGAAGCTTGGTCGCATAATAATATTCTGGTGTATTGATGCTAAGTATACAATGACCTGATTCAACATACTGTACCCCAATGTTTTCCACATTGAGCATCTGCACATTGCAGCTACTTGCACTTGAAATAGCTACTAATATATATATTTCTAAACTTTCCATGTTATTTTGTTTCTCCCCTCTAATCATTGCCACTAAGAACACGTTAGGCTCTGAGTATAGTAGTGACTGATATTGATATTTTTGTCACTTTGATTTGATAAGCGAACCTGTCTCTAGTTTTTCCAGTGATGGACTCTGTTAGGAAACATTGTGGCTCCAATTTTAACTTGTGAGTATAGAGAGGTAGAAACTGGTGTGAGAAGCAAAGTGCCTCAATCTTGGCAGAATTGAGCAGTGAGAGTAATTTTGTCTTCTGATTTCTTTGGCATGTAGTCAACAAGTCTCTGTCCTAGAACCAGTGGGAATTTTCATATGGTAAGCCTTTATTAGCCTGCAGTCAAGGTTGTGGGGTGGTGGGTGAGGCCTATCTGTTTGCTGCAAGGCTCAAAAGAATACTCCTGATTCAACTGACATGACTAGAAAAATAACATCTTGTACCTTCGGTACTTCTCCTCACCCATATGTTCAGTTAGGATGGCCTGTTGGAAATCCACTCTTGCTTTCTTACATAGACTGTCCCCTACCACTACAGCATTCCTATCTCCTCCTCAACTTGAATGGCTCCCTGTACCATGGTGCCATGATTATTTCGTTCATCCTCCCTGCAGTTCCAACTCCCATCCATAAAGCTTACAAGAACCTCACAACAGTTGAACAGTTGCAGAGGCCAAAGCTCCTCCAACCTAACACCCTAGGGTATCATATCTGTCTTACCTGCAGTCACACCCTCCTGACCTTAATACAGACCTAATTTGAATTGCCAAGTCTAAGAGGTGTGACCACCTCCTGAAGCTAGGTTTCTTGTAACTTTCCCCTTCCCTGGTATTTTGCAGTGTCATAGAATCCCTACAGTGTGGGAGCAGACCATTTGGCCTATTGAGTCCATCCCTCCAAAGAGCATCTCACCCACACGCACTCCCCTACCCTCTCCCTGCAATTTGCATGGCTAATTCACGTAGTCTGCACATCCCTGGACACTATGGGTAATTTAGCTTGGCCAGTCCAGCTAACCTGCACATCTTTGGACTGTGGGAGGAAACCAGAGCAATCCCACACAGGGAGAATGTGTAAACTCCACACAGGTAGTCACCTGAGGCTCAAACTGAGCCCAGGTTCCTGGCGCTGTGAGGCAGCAGTGCTAACCACTGAGCCACTGTGTCTGCAGCTGAGACTCCCAACTTCTCAACACAGATCTGAAGTTCCTTAAGCTACAGACTCTTATGACAAATGTGTTTGTTCTGGATCACCTTGCTGTCCTGCAGCTTCCACATACTGTAGCAGGAACACATAACCTATCTGCCATCTCTATTGTGTTTGATTTAATTTGTGAGTTGAATACTTGAGATTTCCTGCTCTTTACACTTTTTTTTTAAAAGACTGAAAACAAACACCAGTGTCAAGCTATGTATAAGAAAAAAAAATACTTAGAGACTTAAGCACAAACTGAAAATCTTACTTTTAACTTTTAAGACTAGAAATATTAACTAATCCTACTTACTTAATTGGCTGCTTTCCCTTCATTTGCACCACATTGTGGTTCAGGACGTCACTACACTCCTGGTTTCACAGTAGTTAGGCCACTCGATTCATATGTTTTATCCTCTCCAACCATCTCTTGGCTTCTTCCTTGACCAGAGCTCTGAACGGTCCCCATCCACCACCACTCTTCCCCACTTGGCTGAATGTGTTCTCCCACTTAACAATTTCTTCTTTAGTTCATCTCACTTCAGCCAAGTCAAAGGAGTGGCGATGGGCACCCACATGGATCCTGCTTCTTTTTGGCGTATGTGAAACAATCTTTGTTCTAGTGTTACTCTGGCCTTTCCCACAACTCTTTATTTGGTGCATTGACAGTTGTTTCGGTGCCACTAAATGCTCCTGCCTGGACCTTGAAAAATTATTTAATTTTGCCTCCAATTTCCATCCTGACACTTCTTTTCCTTTCTTTGACCTCTCCATATCTATTTTGAGGAATAAACTGTCCACTGCCACCCATTACAAAGCCACCGACTCCCATAGCTACCTTCACTACAGCTGTTCACGCCCAACATCCTGTAAGGATTCCATCCCATTCTCCCAGTTCCTTCGCCTATGTCGTATCTGTTCGGATGATGCCACCTTCCAAACAGTGCTCCTGACATGGCTTCCCTATTCCATGACTGTGATTTCCTGCCCACAGTCATTGCCAGGGTCCTCAACTGCATCTGAGCTATTACCCATGCTTCCGTCCTTGCTCCTTCCCATCGCTCACAACAGCATGATCGGGTACCCCTTGTATCCCACCAGTCTCCACAGAATGCCACCACCAAATACATCTTCCCCTTACTCCCCCATCTACATTTCGCAGGGATCCTTCCTCCAAGACATCCTAGACCATTCCTCAATGACTACCAGCACTGCACTCCCTTCCCACGGCACCTTCCGATGTAACTGCAAAAGGTGCCACACCTGCCCCTTCACCTCTTCCCTGCTCACCATCCAAACACTCTTTCCAGGTGAAGCAGCATTTCACCTGTACCTTCTCCAACATGGTCTATTGCATTCGCTGCATCCAGGGTGGCCTACAATACATTGGAGAAACCAAACGCAGACTGGGTGACCACTTTGCAGAAAACCTCTAGTCCGTACACAAACATGACCCGACCCTTCCTGCAGTCGGGAAGCATCCTGCATGGCATCCTGCTTGCGTGTCCACTTGTCTGTCATCGGCATGCTGCAATGCTCCAGCGAGTGAAAGTACAAGCTGAAGGAACAGCATCTCATCTTCGGACTAGGCACTGCGTAACCTTCTGGATTTAATATTCAGTTCAACACCTTCAAATTGTGAACTCTCTCCCATTTCTTCCATTCCTTTTAACTTTGCCTGTTGTATTCTTTGTCACCATGTCCTCTCTCCCCTCCCCCCATTCCAGTGGGAACACCTGCTCTTTCCAGTTTGGCAGTTAGACACACCATTGTTCTGCCATTCTCACATTCCAATCACTTAATCTACACTGTCAATACCCTTTCTTCCCCCAGCACTCCATCCGTTCAGCCTCCAACTATTGCATAAATACTGCCCCCTCCACACTTCACGTCAACTCTGATGAAGAGTCATCCAGACTGGAAGACTGGAAATGTTAGCATATTCTCTCTCCACGGTGTTACCTGACCTACTGATTTCCAGAACTTTTTGTTTACAGTTGTCTCTCCCTCTTGCAGTAAACCTTCGTAAAAGCACCTCTATCTTTCTTTGAATGGTGGTTGCAATCTCAAGGATTCTGACAATCAGATTTTGAAAATTTGTCTGCCGTTGGAAGACAATTGAATAATTCCTCCAAACCTGTGACTTAAGTTGTATATTCTGATCTCTCAGTCATGAAATTTCAGACACCGGGGTAATTAATCTCAAGTAGAGTGTTTTTTCTCTTACCTTCAGTGATTTCTTCTTGAGTAATGCTTCATTGATCACTGCTATTTGACTTCTAAACTGATTGAGTTTCTTCAATAAGCTTTAGAATTATAAGTGCATTTTTGCTCAGAAGTGAGAACTGTTGCTTTCTAATGACGCTTACTTATTCTACATAGTTTTGCTGTCTTTATTTTAAGGCTGCTGTCAGCATTTCTCTAATTTTGATTAAGGAATATCTACTCAATGCAGTTTCTGTCAGACATCCTCTTCAACAAAGGAACTTTGCTAAAATAGTAAAACACATCTTGATGACAAGTCTAAAATGTAAAGTCTTAAAAAGTCATTCAGATAAGTCACCTATTACTGCAAGGAAAATTGATTTATTTTTGCCAAACGTAAAATATCATCACATGATGAATATTGCGGGCTGTTCTGGTGCAGTAGGAGGTATCACTATCTTTGGGTCAGAAGGTCTGTGTTCAAGTCCCATTTGTCCCAGACATCTGTCACAACATCTCTGAACAAGGTAATTAAATAATATATATTGAAGGATTGTCTTGGTATTCTGTGAAAAAAGAATGAAAGAACTGCGGATGCTGTTAATCAAGAACAAAAACAGAAGTTGCTGGATAAGCTCACCAGGTCTGGCAGCATCTGTGAAGAAAAAAATCAGAGTTAATGTTTCGGGTCCAGTGACCCTTCTACAGTTCTGAGGTTCTGTGTTTTCTTCCAAAGATGCTTGTTGTAAGATGCTGTAAGATCTCTTATATACTGTTGCTTTAAAACAAGATCTGTATTTAGACTTACAAACAAAAGAATTCAGAATTATAGGAGTATTATGACACAGAAGGAAGTCATTTGGCCCGTTGTACTTGCACCAGCTCATGCATCATTACCCAATGCCAATCACCTGCATTTTCCCCCTATATTTGCACAATAATTTTTACAAATAATTATTAACTGCCCTCTTGAATGCCTCAGATGAATATGCCTCCACTTCTAGGCAATGCATTCTGTACCCTAACTACTCCCTGAGTGAAAAAGCTATTCCTCACTTAACGCTTCTTTTTTTGCAGATCACCTTAACTCTATGCCCCCTTGTTCTTGATCATTTTATGAACAAAAACAGTTTTTCCCTATCTACACTGAACGGCCAACTCATAATTTGAAAGCCTTTATCAGATCTCCTCTTAGCCTTTTTCTCACCAAGGAGAACAGTTGTAATTGCATTGATTTGTTCTTCCCTGAGTTTCATCTGTAATCCTGAAGCCATTCCATATAACATGACTTGTACCTTCTATATCATCTA